AGGGAGGGGTAAAATGGTCTTCTACCCTGGGAGTTAGGACTAATTGATTAAAGTCTCAATTATGGTTTATGATCCAATTATTATCTAGGGTTTTATTGATTGGTTAGTGTGGAGATTCTTCGGTTTAGCAGCCCGAGCATCTATTTGATTGTCATCAGACTAAGGTGAGTTTGCTAACTATACTGTAGGACATTAGGGATTGTATGTGCTTGTAGTCTTTGTGACTCCTACTATATGTGTTGTATGCATGTGTGCCTGTTTGCTATATATGTGGGGTGAACTAGATCCGGGGGTGAAATAGACCCGATATAGCCTTGTGCTGACATATAAGTTGAAATAGACTCGGGGGTGAAATAGACCTAGTACAACCTTGCGTTGACGTATATGTATGGTGTGCAGTATTTTGGGAAAATCATTAAGCTTTGTGCTTATGGTTTTCAATTTATGTTTTAGATGCTTCCGATTCGAAGGGGAAGGGCTCGGGATGATCACATTGCACACACCATGATTTTCCGCTTTATTGACTCTGATGTACTTTTGGGATGTTTATGGATACTCTTTGAATACTTTATGGTTTTGAAAAACATGTGTGGTTGATGGTTTATTTAATATAAAAACAAAAATTTTAGGTTCTGAGTTTTGGGACGTTACATTAGCACAAAACAGGACCTCCTTAACCCAAAAACACAATAACATGTCGACATATGCAATAATAATCTATAACCAGCAAGTACAGGTAATCATACAGATATACGAATCTAACATATAACCAATAAGCACCGGTAATCATATAGATCTACCAATCTAACATATACCCAACATAAAATCATCCTATATACCAGGATACATAACCTAGTGGGTTGGTGTTGGTGCCTTCGACCCACAAGTATTGTGAGGAAAACTCACCTCAATGTCCGAAAGGTATTTGAACTGAACGTTGCTCCAAATAAGTGCTCTACAGGTCACCTATACCACAAACAAGGACCAAGCGTTAGCCTACTACTCAAATCACTCTATTTGACCCAAATTCAAACTTGGTCAATGGTAAAAGTTAACGGTCAACGGTCAAATCTACACTCAAAAGTCACATAGCCAGTCATGACCATCTAGTGGTCACGTTGTAACCTAATAAGACAACAATCGTGATTTTTCATTCTCATGTTGTGACCACAAATGTTTACGTTGTGAGAAGCGCTCTAAACAACTTGATGCAGTAAGCTCTTAATCCTTTTAGACAAAAAACAAAACTTCCAGAATGTCTTATCTACTTCAAAACATCATAAAAATCATGGCTTTTTGGACATTCATGTACAAGGCATGTCCCAAACACAATCTAGGGAACAAAAGGAAGAAATAGCATAAGGAGCTCATGCAAGAGTCTCAAACCTAACCATACTTCAGATCTAATACTTATTCCATCAAAGGGACACTAGAGATTCATAAAGTTGGCAACTTTATGGACCACAAACACAGTATCAATATAGACATGAAAGATAATGCATAAAAACCTAGATCTAAGCTTAATGACTAAAAAAGCATTGAACTTGGAAACTCAGAAGGTGTGAAGATGAATAATGGTGAGGCTTGAATGCTGAGATGGTGAACTAGATTATCTTCCTCCTCTTCTTATTTGCTAAAATCACCACAAAAGAACTCAAAATCAACTATGTGGTGCTAGGGTTTCAAGGGAGAGTATTACGAGGTGATGGAGGCTGAGGGTGGGCTAACCTTAGGCTTCTCTTCTTTTAAATACGGGGAAACCCCCGAAGATTAGGGTTTGCTTCTCATCCAGGTCTCACGTCGTGACCCATAAAGGATCACATTGTGAGTCTCAAGATGATGCACGTTTTGAGATGCCACATCATGTCGTAACATACAAGTGCTCACGACGTGACCTAGGTTTGAGCCAAAAAAGTATTTAATAACTTGAAAAAATGAGTACCTGATTGAGTGTTACATTATCCTGATGAATTTTTGCACTTCCAACGATGAGACTATGCCGACGACATTTTACCAACGATTTGTCGTCGGTATAGGCTATCCCGACGACTTGTCTTTATCATAGGGTTAAAAGAAATCATCGCCATAGGGCAGTTCTTGTAGTGTAATCTAATAAAATAGATGGGTTCAAGGGTCAACTTGGAAAATTATTTGTAAACCCAAACATAAACATATAATAAATGGGACGGTGGGTCAGAAAAACTCAACCCAAACCCGTTTATCTTTGTGTCGGGGGTTGTGTCGAGAATTGTCACCTTTAGCTTCAATATTGCACACCCTCAACTAGAAAATAGGCTCTAAATAAAGCCAAAACATTTAATGAGAAGCATCGAGTCAATGAATCTACAAGGGTGAGTTCATTGGAAAAAAAAACATACTCGAATTTCACTACAATGCTTGTCTTCCTTGCTAACTAGAGAACCTTATATAGGTAAAACATAAAACTGTCTTCTTTTATTGATTGATGTATAAATATTTCGTGTATTTGATTTCCGATTTAAGGTTATTGTTTGTTTATTTCTCCGGGTTCTAACTAGTGCCAAAGAGATCAATTCATGTCAATAATTTTGTTATCTAGGATGATTATGCTAATTTGTTGGTTACCCGTATAAAAGACCTGAATAAATGCCCAACAAATAAAATTTTCTAAACTAAAAAAAACAATATATCTATTTGTAAATTTTATTCATCTCTTGCATGAAAGACCCTAGATTTTATATAACTTCAGTAAGGATTTTTTTTTAGAAAATTACTTAATAGGATAACATAGTTTTCACTATGTATACATTTAGTCCTTATTTCTTTTGTGTGTGTAAAATAAGCCTTTTAAACTGTTGTTTTATACATATTTAGACCTTATGATCTACTTTAGGTGGTGAGGTTAAATTCTCAGTTTGTACACATTTAGTCATTAATGTTTTTTTTATTGCAAAATAAGTCTGTGTTGTTTTTGTACACATTCAGTTCTTATGTCCGATTTTCTTTAGGTTTTACTCAAATGACATCCTACGTCAGACAATCATTAATAAGATGTTCTCGCATATGGCTTGTCCGTCACTTATATTAGCAACCTAATTCATGTATCGATCAAATAATGTTGATGCCTTAGTTTTCTCTAAGAATAAAATATCTTCGACTTCAGTTTCATTTATCTTCGTAAGAGATAATGAGATTCTTTATGATTTCTTTCTCTCAACTCAAATTCGCACTTCTAAGACAAAGTAACACCATGAAAAAAAGTTTAGTGTCTTCCCTAATTCCTCTGTATGTCGATTTTGATCATTTTTCAGCAAATAGGTTTTTTGTTTATTTCAAAATGTTGTTTTTGTACACATTCAGTTCTTATGACCAATTTTCTTTAGGTTTTACCCAAATGACATCCTACGTCAGACAATCATTAACAAGATATTCTCATATATGGCTTGTACTTCACTTATATCAGTAACCTAATTCATGTATCGATCAAATAATGTTGATGCCTTAGTTTTCTCTAAGAATAAAATATCTTCAACTTCAGTTTCATTTATCTCCGTAAGAGATAATGAGATTCTTTATGATTTCTTTCTCTCAACTTAAATTCACACTTCTAAGACAAAGTAACACCATGAAAAAAAAAATTAGCGTCTTCCCTAATTCCTTGGTATGTCGATATGGATCATTTTTCAGCAAATAGGTTTGAAGATAAGCTTGCAACTGTTAAAGAGAAGGTTTCCTGTCTCAAACCACTTTGAATTCACAAAATACTAAAGCCCGAGAACGTTTAGGGTTTTGTCACGAGGATTAAGGAGGCACGTCGTGAACTTCTATTAATTTACTAATCACTAATAAATTAACAATTTGGATCCCCGATAAACTCTCATGTCAACAATTGCTTAAATTTTTCATTAAGTTTAATACATGACTTTGATATTAATATTAATATTACCAACTTATATAAACGTGGACATTATTTCCAACAATTCAAATCATCATGGATAATTTATTTTCTTCACCTGATGTAATGTAGTTTGTATTGATATTGTATGAAGTTGCATTGCCATTAAATATAGATGATATTGTCCAAAACAAAGACAAGAAACATATGATTCCACTTCACATACGAACCATATATGAGAACGTTTCATTTATTATTGTCTCATATAAGATATCATGTGAACAAAACAAAAAGAAACTTATTATAGGGACTAAATGTATAAAAAAAAACAATGACTTATTTTACAAAAAATAAATAAATAAATAAATAAATAAGTGTACAAACGAATTACTTAACATGAAGTAGTCGGTTGAACGTGAATAAAAACAATAAGTTCAAGGACTAATTTTAAAAACAAAAAGTAAGAATTCAAAATATATAGCAAATATTATGTTACCCTGTTAAGTTATTTTTTCTTCAAGAGAATTAGAAAAACATCACATAGGGCTTCTGCAATGACATAAGGCTTATGATTTCAAAATGATTTAAAGTTTACTTTTGTATCCATCTAATATGTACCCCATTTTCTCCATCTCTTTGTTATTTGTTAATGTGATTATTACATATACATACATACACCAAAGCATTCGACTTTCACTATTTTCTCTTACAAGGACATCATACTTTCAAAATGATATCCCGCTTTTCCCTTAGTTTTTGGTTAACATTGTTATCTTTAGGTAGCCTTTCTTAAGTAACAAGAACAAATGAAAGTTGGATGCTATGGTACTCAATAATAAAATTACATTGCTATTTTTTTTCTATTGGGTACATACCCAAAATAACTATTTTGTATGAATATGATCTATATATAAGGGGTTGTTTGATAAGCACTAAATGTTTCCATTAGATGAGCATTCAACGCGTTTGATATATTCTCTCAACAAATCAAAAGCCTCTCAACATTACCTTCTTAACCATTTAGATTCCAATCATGAAGCACTAAATGGTTCAATTTTATCAAACAGACCCTTAGAAAATATAAAAAGACCAATACTAATAAAAGGTTAGCAACCTTATTGTAATCTCAATAATCGCTCTCTTCTGAGCTATTTTCTTCCTTTTTTGACTTTATATTCTTCATATTACCTCTCATAATACCAGAAAGATCTTGAATCGAACAAGAACTACTTCTTTCCATCTTCTCTGCAAGTATCTCCACTTTCTCTGCAAACCCTAATCCAATAATTTTGTTCCTCAAAACCTCACAAGTAGAAGAATATGGTGGTATCCCCTCATCAACCATCATTTCAAAATATCTACACGCCTCTTCAACCATCCCTTTCTTCCTACAAAAACCATGAATCATAACAGCATACGTTGAAGCAGAAGGATGAAAACCATTTTTCTCCATTTTCTCCCATAAACTCGTGACCCTATCAAACCTCCCTACCCTAATCAACATTTTAAGCAACATATTATAGGTATGTCGATCTGGTTCACATGAATCTGTATCCATTCGTGATACCAATTTAGTAGCCATGTTTACCTCTAATCGATTGCAATGGAATGATAAGATCGCGTTGTAACTCCACACATCTGGTTTAACTTTTCTCTCGAGCATTTCATCTAACAGTTGGTATGCTTCTTCGATTTTATCGGATTTACAGAGTTTATTGATGATGGAGTTGTATGTGAAGACGTTAGGGATAAGATTGTACCTTTTCATCCTGTCAAGAACTCGAAAGGCTGAATGGATGTCGTTTGCATCACAAGCAGCATGGATGAAAATGGAGTAAGTGAAAGCATCTGGTTCGAGCCCTTTAGATCTCATATCTCGGAATAGCTTGTGAGCTTCATCGACGTTTCCTCCTTTACATAAGGACTCCAGAATGCTATTGTAAGCATGTACATCTACAGAGCATCCTCTCACAAGCATTTCATCGAACACCTTCTGTGCTTCACTTGCTTCTCCGATGTAGCCCCAACCGCGAACCAGAATACTGTAGGTTTTCACGGTGGGATTAAACCCATGCTTGATTTTATCGAAGAACGATTGAGCTTCCCTCACATGCTTCCTCTTGCAAAGCACATACAAAAGCTGGTCCAGATCATTGATACTCGGTTGTATCCCGTAATCGACCATGTTGTTAAAAGCTCTAATGGCGTCGGAAGGCAAATTAGCTTTACAATAAGCACTAAAAATCATCCAGAAGATTACAGAAGTGATTTCACAAGATTGAGATTGTTTCGTTTCTCCTAGGAAATCCCAAACCAATGGAAACTGTTTGCTTCTACCTAAAATATCAATGAGAATATGATAGCTATCTTTACTAGGTACAAAACCAGGCAAGTTTTTAGCCCAAAGGAAGAACCTGTGTGCAGAAACACCAAGATTGTTGCAACGTTTGAGTACTTGTTCGACCAAGTCGGTGGTTATCGCATCGGCAAAGGGAGTGAGGGCTGAAACGATATCGTGACGGGGGCTCCGGTAGTCACTGAGGATGCGAGAAATGTCGTTGATGAGTTCTGTTGAAGAGGAGGAAATGGTAGGTGACGCGGAAGAGAGAAGAGACTGCGACGAGAAGGGTGGGAACGGGTGGTGAAGGGAGGAGGGTGGATGTGAGATGAGTCGGAGATTGGCCGTCGGAGTTCCGGTGAATAGCCGGTATATGGTTTTGGTTCGCCGGGAGAGTAATCTAATAGCCATCTCCGACAAGAAGTTGAACGATCGTTTGAAGCCAAAGCATCACCTTTGCGTATCACTGGTTTCGACCTTGTTCGAATTCGAACTCGACATCAGTATACACTAAAATGACCAAATAAGGAGTCTTTGGGCCTGAGTCGTAATTTTTTTATTATTTATTGATTATTAATAATTATGGATAAATGAAAATCTTGTGGGGGCCTCCACAAATTTATATATTTTTACAAGAGTTTTTGAAATGAAGATGTAATTTCATTATAACGATCACTACAGATAATGTATTTATAAAACATATAGTAATAATTAACAAAGTTCAATAACAGAATTTTTTATTTGTCATGATTTATATTCCACTTTTCAAAGCCAAACAAAAATGTGCAAGATTCTAAGGAAAAACTGTAGCTGTATTTCCAAAGAGCATTCAAAGGGGGATAACTTATTGATACAAAGAACAGTTGCAAACGAAACTACTCATTTTAGCTCAAAAAGGAATTACTCGCTGTTTTTAATCCCAAAAGCAATGAAATTGACACCCACGTCATCACTAAGAGACCATTGACCAGTCAAAGGATTGTACGCAAAACCAGCCATCTCTTCAACCTACAAAAATGGAGTCAAATAGCAAAACAAAAATAATTACAACGTTTTTTTAAACTTAATCTATGTTGACCAGAGTCAATATGCATTTGCTTACAGAAATTGAAGCACGTTGCAATGTCATTACAAGTTCTTCAGGAGTTAAAAAACTCGACCACTCATGTGTACCCTTTGGAAGCTGTTTAAAAAATAAAAAAAAAAAGTTGTCACAAAAACTCTAAAATCTACAAGCAAAATATAACTTTAAAGAAAAGTCCGATATTATGTTGTAGATCAAGGTTTTTGATGAATCATATTCATTTTAGCAGTAAAAAAGTTCGAGTAAATTACATTTTTGGTCCCTGAGTATCGCTGACTATTTTCATTTTTGGTCCAAAAAAGTTTCCCTTGCAACTTTGGTCCCTATTCCAAATAAAATGATTATCTTTGACACGCACATAGAACAAAAAGTGTTACAAGAACCTCAAATAAGGACCAAAATTGCAAGAGAATTTTCTTTTGGGACCAAAAATATAATTCATTCAAAAAGTTATGATCATAATTCATACCCAATGCAGGATATATTCTGCTGCAACAATTGCAGTTGCATATGCTCTCATAGAACGGTTTATTGTTGAGATAACAGTAGCTCCATTAGACACTGTTAATGCTGACAAGGATTTGCAAAACTCAGCAGGATCTGCTACATGCTCGATTACCTTTAGAAAATCACAAAACACATATCTGTTAAATGTCTAATATGCCCTTCAATAATAACTTGATCAACATTTTGTAATTTAAGGGTAAATGATATGTACACCTCTAGAGCAATAACAGCATCAAACTTCTTTTGCTCTTCAACCAAATTTTCTGTTCACATAATTGTAAATTTGTAACACAAAAGAAACATTATAAAAATTAAATTTGTATTTATTTATGAAGGAGAAAAGTTAAATAAAGTATAGAAGATACCTGCAGTTGTGCACTGATATTCAATTGAGGAAGCTACAGGATCCAAATCCTAAAAAAGAAAGAAATACGAAGTTAAAGATACTTAAATTGTAAAATGGGTATGAATTATGATGTCAAGAAGGAAAGAACTCAAGAACAAAAGAAAAAAAAAATGTATAAAATTAAGAATTGAAAAAGAAATGAAAACAGTTTTTAATTAATCATACTGCATGAAGACGTGCAATCTTGATATTCTTATCCACAGCATCGATTCCTGTGACTGAAGCTCCCATACGAGCCAAAGGCTGACAAGAGTCGATAAAAATTTAAAAAATAAATTTATTTTAGTGTCTTATGTTAATTATTTGTCTATTTTCCATTAGATATGATATTAATTATACCTCAGATAAAATACCTCCTCCACAACCAACATCTACAAATTTTAGTCCTTCAAATGGCCTCACAGAAAATGGATCCTTTCTGTGAAAAAGTTAAAATTTTAATTAGTAAGTACAATGTGTTAAATGTACAAGATAATAGTTCTATTGATGTGGAAAATGTATTAAAAAGATACCAATATGAATTATCAATTGAAGGATATATGAAAAGATGATAATACCCAAAATGTCTGCAAAGTGTTGACCGAATAAAAGCTAGCCTTGTAGGATTCATGACATGCAATGGCTTAAAAGGCCCTTCAGCATCCCACCTGTTTATTGTATGATATCATTCATCAATAACAGAAGTAGATATTTAAATGAATTAAAAGAAAAAACAAAGAAAAGGAAATGAGCTTACCAACTTTCAGCTATAGCAGCAAATTTAGCTAGTTCAGTTTGGTTCAAAGAAGAAGTAGAAGCTGCATGCTGAGTAGTGGTTGCATAAGGTTTGTTGTGAAGAAGGGGCTGGAAAGCTGTAATAAGAGCTGAATGTTTGAAATAACTACTTGAATTATAGAAGGAATGACCATTGTGTCTGGATAAGTTTCTTAATCGGTATAGACTCCTTGAAAACATTGTCAGTGGAATAAGATGTCGTCTGCTTAATCTTCTTCAGTTTGATTCTTAATAAACAAGTGTTATCTCTGAACTGGTTTCTCTACCAGTTGCATACTGCAGGTCTTTTGAGATTGGTAAAAATGGAATCTGGTGATGATACTCCTTTCACTTGTGTTTTTCAAGCAGATTGATTTGCAAACTGCAATGCCAGCTTTTCATCAAACACTTGGTGTGCAAGAAAATACTACCAACCCAAAGAATACTATAACCAGAAGAAAGAATAGTAAGCATGCAAAAAGAATTCTTAAACGACCTTTGGAAGAATTAGCACTTAAACGAAAGAGAAATTGGATAATTAATCTCAGTGAGAAGTCGCTGAAAGTAACCGCAAACCAAAAGGGGTTTATAGATTAAGATGATGCCATCAGTCACAAACTTTATAGAGATATGCACTCAATGTAGACAAATGGAACGGGCGCTATGACTGATGATGAGTTCTAGGTTTATAGATCAATTTGACAAAGCTTTGATTAATTGAAGTTCGATTCGTTACTTTTAGTAGGGTTTAACACCATGAACACATAAAAGTCGAGATTTTTTACCTGATTTTACGCCAGAACCGTTTTATCTTCTCTGATAATTCACGAAATGACAAATTTTGAACTCGAAGATCCAACAAAGCGAGTTTAGGTGGTCTCAAGCGGTGGACGTTGTGGGCATGTGATGCAGTTAACGCAAAGAAGGAAGATACTCCCTCTTTGTTCATCGAAAAAATATAATTAAAAAAAATATTTTGAATATTTGTGTTTATTTGTCGATAAAGTTTATTTATTAGTATATATTTGTTATATTGATTTTATTCTATAGAGTTTTTAAGAGAAAAAAAAAACTAAAATCTAAACTATGACTGATCTTGATCTTGATATTAAGATTTAACATTCAAATAACATTCTGAAGCACACTAGATTTTCAGTGTATACACACTATGTCATGGATATGATGTTGATTTGTCACTGCAACAACTCTCATTTCAACCAAAGATGGTTTGGTGTAGCTTTTCAACCCCGCTCTCTCACTTTTTGTCTGCCACCTTATCGTCATGTTATTTTTCTTTCATTCGATCTTCACTTGTCTTACTAGTAGGATATGGTCACATAACACTAACCTCAAAATAAGCAACAATAGATATCGTATTGTATAAGATCAAGAAACATGTAAAAAGAGAGAAGAGATGTGGCAAAATAGTGTTGTGTGAGGAGGGTCACCACACCAACGCACACCAGGCGGTGTGTTGTTCACCGCACCACCGTAGTGACACCTTGACTCACTGTAGTGTGCGATATTGGTACTCCTATTGACCTTACAACAACAAGAAGTCCAACCTTCTTAACCCCAAGTTGAGCTTGTATAGATACCGGATTTAGTACCCGAAATACAACTGTCCAAACAACCCAAAGCTTCTAATAAAAAAGAAGCCAAAAAAGTGTCACATAAAGGTCCTAAGAATTGGTAGGAAGTCGAACAAGTCGCATTAGCACGTGCTTCAGTATCTACCTCCCAATTTAACATTACCATAAATGACCAAGCTTATAATTGTTTTTTAGAGCGTATTTTATAACATTTGTAACGTCCAAAAAATAAGACCAAAAATTTCGATTTTTGAATTAATAAAATCATTATCCAAAACATCATCATAAAAGCTATAGTAAATCAAAGTGTATCAATAACATCCAAGTACATCAGAGTAATATAAAAATATGAAACGATGTGGTGTGTCCACTGCAATCATCACGGCTCTTCCCCTTCGAACCAGAAGTACCTGAAACATAAACTGAAAACCATAAGCACAAAGCTTAGTGAGTTCCTTACAATACCGCATACCATACATATAAAACATATAATGGGCTCTGTCCGGCATTGGGCCCTGCTCATAACATATTTTTCAGTCATCAGGCCCTACCCGATATACATACAAACATATAAACATATGCATAAAAATCACAAAAGATAAATATCATACAATAGAATCATCACGCCCTGCCAAGTATACATATAAACACATAACACGTGCAAGAGTCACAAAGATAACAAACTATTGGATTAGTGTCTAAGCCAGTAACCATATTTGGTAAATACTTGACCCGATTATGCATGGTCCTTTTGAGTTGCCTTCACCAAAGCAACTTGACTGGAGAAATAATAGAGAAAGAGGTTATTATGATTTATTAATATGTTATAAGAATAATATATTAAAGGATAAATCATATTTGTTTAATTAATATTGGTCAATAATTAATTAAGAATTAATTTTGTGATCAAATGTAATTAATTAAACTAGAGGGGTTGAATTGTAATTATGTGATAGTTACAAAATAGGGTAATGATTATCCTAAGGATAGGTTGGACGAATTTAAGGTGATAAGGCCTTAGAATTCGTCCATGATAAGGATTCAAGGCTTATCTTATGGGTTGCTTGGT